AGGAATACTATTCACATCGGGACTATGGAAGAAAGTAACCGGAGAAATGGGGATACAAAACAGAATGAGCACAGTGTTCCACCTGCAAAAGGATGGATAAACGAAACGAGTAAATGCGATACTCGAACAATATTTACAGGCCTACATCAATTATCAACAAGATGATTGGTACAAACTGTTATCAATGGCCGATTTTGCATACAACAATGGAAAGCAAGAAACGATCGGCACGACACTCTTCTTTGCGAATTACTGACAACATCTACAAAGTCAGACTACATATCATACGATTAATGGTATAATACCGGACAAAACAGAGATGGGAAAACTACACGAGACATTACAATACGAAATGAGTTAAGCACAACAATGACAAAAAGAACAATACGATAAGCATGGAAGACCGGATCCGAACATACAACCGGGAGATATGGTATGGTTAATACCACGCAATATCCATACGATGCGACCATCAAAGAAATTGGATTACAAGAAAATCGGACCATTCAGGATACTGGAAAGAGTGGGCAGCTGAGCTTATAAACTCGACCTTCTACCCTCGATGCGAATACACAACAAATTCCACATCTCAGTCCTCGAATTACACAACAACAATAAGTTTCCCTTACAAACACTTATTCTTCCTCCTCCGATTGAACTCGACGGAAACCAGAATAGGAGCTCGACAAAATAGTCGATTCTCGCTTCTTCTACGGTCACCTCCAATATTGAGCCAAGTGGATGGGATATTCACCCGAACATGATAAAACTTGGTATTTTGCACACAACTTTGAACATGCACAAGATGCCATCTCAACCTTCCACCAGTGATACCCAGGCAAGCCCAGCCCAGGTAACAATCACATTCAACCAAGACCAAGGCGAGAGAAAGGCTCCCGCGCCATTGCAACAATACAATGTCTGGGGCGATAGTCCCCACCAAACCACACCGACCAGCCCCGAATACTCGTTCATGGGGCCGACCGACAAAGAACTCAAAGAGAGGGAAAAACAAGCACAGCATAACGCCAGGTCATGGATGGTATGCTACAATGACCGTTGTCAAACACATTTTAGCGACAAAGAAGGCTCGGGATGGTTCCTGAGGGAACGTCAAAAGCATGGTCTACGCCCAGACCACGTTCTGAAGCATTGGCAACAATGCTTCAGAAATGGGTACAGGATGCCTAGGGCACAGAAAATCTCTTTGGGATTCTACCCTCAGAAGGATGGAAGCAAGAAAGAGTTGGAAGGAGAGGATACCAGAAAGGCATGTGCCGTGAGGACGCGGTCCAGAGAGGGAGGGGCCCAAAACTCCTCAGCAGACATGGAACCGGATGTCAGGAGCCTACACAGGCAAATCCTGTGACTCCGAGAACAACTTGGCCAGGCTGAGGCCATAATTTCAGCAAATGACAAAATGATCGCGGAGCTAACACAGCTGAACGATAATCAGCAGCACACGATCGAGATGGCGAACCTGACCCTAGAATCGGTAAGGGTCAGGTGGAGGACAGCAGATGAAAAGTTCCACAAGTTGAGAAGAACCATGTACTCGGCAGGACGGGAACTATTGAAACTGGGAGAAAAAGCCTGATGGGACTCAGGCTTAGGAGGAGGGAAGCTAATGTCACAAATGTGGCTTAGCATGAAAAAGGTTTTCACGTGATACATAGTTATGAGTCACAGGTATGTTATTGTTTCACACATATGACTAATTTGAGTCATATGATTTGTTATGTGTGGGATTTGTGATGCTTTCACACTTGGCTCAAATATGAGTTATGGGATGTGCGCCTGGCGAATGTGCCTTGTGAGTGTGCCTTGTGGGTATGCCTTGCGCATATGATTTATGTTTAGCACATGACCTCGTTATGAGGTTATGGGTTTCATGCATATGACTCAGTCGAGTCATATGACTTGCTTATTGCATTATGATTGGTTTATGAATTTTACACATGACCTTATTATGAGGTCATGGGTTTTGAGCATGTGACAATCTTGGTCACATGATTAGTTTGTTATAATATGGTTTTGCACATGTGAGCACTTTGGGTCACATGACTACAGGCAGGAAGAACACTATATAAGGAGGCCAGTACGGCCGAGGAGGATAGGTTCTTCATGCTTTGTTCTAAGTACTTTGCCTACTTATTACTTTAACGAATATAAAACACCTTTACGATCTTTATCTTTATTGCAACCTTATTGTTACGCCAAGGAAAGTTCTTCACGAAGAAGAGTCAGAGAAAGCTTATGATAGGCATTCCTGATAGAAGACAAAGGTCTTGTACTATCGGTAACATAAGCAGGGGCCTAGAGCTATCATAAGACAAAGGAAGAAAAAGTAAAAAAAGAGAAGTATCGTTCCCCGTCGCCAAGAACTAACTATCCAAGAAGCGATCGTGACACATTGCTACTTTGTTATCACAGCAGTTAGTACAATAGATACAAATATTTTCAGATAGGCACTCGAGCAGACATCTTACCAGTCTAATAAGTTGGTTTATGCTATTTGCCTCGACTTTTAAAGGGTACCGATGCCATTTTTTGCTCCATTTGTCCTTCTGATCTGCCGTACGGGTATCGTACTCGAAGACTGCCGGGTATAATACTTGGTTGGCCCACTTCCAAGCTTCACACATATGACCGGGAAACTGTGTGGGCTATCTGGTGTCGTACGGTAGCACTACCGCATTTGCCTGGAAACTATGGTACCATTCATGAAGGTTCAAGTAAGTTGGTATCATAAGTGCAGACGCTCCTATCGCACAGGCCGGGAGTATCCATTTGTTTCCAAGTACTCGAGTAGAATCTTAGCCACAAGGCCGAAAAACAGTTGGAGATGTTCACCCGGCTTCACTAGCTTCAGATCCTTTGAGATTGGGCTGAATCGCGAGTTGCACTCGGACTCTCGCCCTGTCCGTCCGCCCTCCATTTCCTATCGTATTCCTCTCGATGAAGAAGCACAGTATCTATAGCATCATTATTATCGTGTCATCATCCCTGGGGCTGTCACGGAACGGTTGGATCGGGGATCCTTTTTTTCTTCCCTTCTTTATCTTCCCCTATTCATGCCTGCGAGGGTTCTCCTACCTCTCTGGTTGGATATCTATTATCGGTCTAACACTTAGAGGTATGTGTTGACGAAGAAGCCGCTGCCTTGGTCCATTTGGCGGTGGGATTTTGGGGGTATTCAAATCGAATCTAACACTCTAACACTTAGAGGTAGGTTCTGACGAAGGCTCGCTTTGGATGCCACTTAGGAGTAAGAGAGTCCGAAACCAAGTTTTTCCTCGAGTAAACTCGCTGAAAGTGAAACGTAAAAGGTTCACTTATTTTTCTTCTACTCGTACATTCGCTCATGCAAGGAGATATCGTATTAGAATGTTTTTCTTTTTAACCAAGCCAAGGACCGGTGACGTTACTTTACGAGTAATCGTTACTCTAATTGCCACAAGATTAAGGTGTGAGTGGTTCCGAAGAATGGCTTGGGTGAAGGCTCCTTTGTCTGAATTAACAAAATGGAACTGAAGGAAAAAAAAAAAAAGAGGTTGACACAAGCCCTATGCGGAAGCGGTTAACGCAGTGAGACGGAGCTAGGATCAGAATAAGAAGTACGAGTACTCGAGTACAAGATTTATGCACCATGCTTCGGTTCTTGTACCTGTCCGACAGGTATAATGGCTCGGTAGAAAGCAGGGACATTAGAAGAAGAAAAAAGGGATGCTCAAGAACGTTGAAGGGTCAATTCGTACGCTTCGTCCCGTAAACATCTATTAGAAATCCCAGGAAATAAGCTCAGTTGTGTTTCGTGGGGTGGATTGGATAAACTTACTTGAGTTACGGCAGGTTCTTACATCAACTTACGCCGCCACAAACCCCGCACCAGTTCCCGTCGTGGAATGTCGAAGACACCCTTGTCGATTTTACTGCTTCTGGATCAAGTCCCTGCAGGCCGCCTCGAGAACTTTTGTGGGATTTGCATGACCAAGGATGAATTGTGGGGGGGGGGGAATGGGCTGCTGGGGTTGAACCTGCCACAGACTTGTAATCAATTATCATGCTCCAGAGGCTGATTGGTGGGGTTGATGTGAGGATGTGCGGGCAGGGTCCTTTACTCCGCTAACTTTTAGTTACTGAAGTTGTTGATAGGGCACTGTACTCGTACAGTACAGTACTCGCACATATCTGAAGATTGGATACCGACAACAAACTGTCGGGCTACCCATTGGTCCACTTACTTTTTTCTCTCTCTCACGTGATGCTACACATTACGGCCCCACACTCCAAGGGGGGGGGGTACTTTAGGAAGGCCCAAAGGGGGTGATGTAGCGGTGATGGTTGGTGCAAGGAAGTTAGCGTAGGTCAAGAGGGCGTGACACCCGACATCGAGACGCACTCCAGAAGGCTTCCTTTCCTCTTCCTTTTCAATATGACAGCAAGTAAAAGCAAACAATGCCTTCCTAGACTAGGTGGAAATTTAACAACTCTAGCAAGGCTGGTCGGGTCAAGCAGTTGTGGGCTAATGTCTTGCTAAAAGAAAAAGGGCTTGCTGTAATGTAATTTCAATAGAAGTGAATGAATCGATGTGGCTGGATGGGTGAGCCAGACTCTGGACTGCGGCCCCGATTCATTGCACCGTGCGCGGGATAATAAATGTAGATAATAAGGTAGATAATGATATATGGATAGTATTAGGTAGGTAGGGTTGGGGGGGTATTGTAGACTCAGTTGTACGAGGATAGTAGGGTACGATACAGTACTTCTAGTAATATGCTGGGCGACGAGCGTGATGCGCTGCCCTTTTCTTTCCCAATGAACCATTATATCATACCATACACGTTTACTTGTATGATATTATGTATGATAGCTGGAATCGTAATTTACACCCTACGCTGGAGAGCCGCTTCCAGCCGACAAGTCCCACCATTAGCTTCCTTCCTTCTTTCACTGTTCTTTTCTTCCCTTCCACCCCCTCCACCCTCCTCCAACAATCCTCTTTCTCCCCCAATCCTTACCGCTCCACCACCGCCACCTCCTCCTTGTCCCGCATCACGGTACTTCACATCCCTTATCTGGTTCAGCATCCATCCTAAACTCAATTGTCCCCAAAGGTATTATATTCACTCTTTCTATTTAACCTCCCCAACTTCTCTTCATTTCCACATCATCTTCACGCTTCCTCATCTTTTATTGTCCCGAGCTTTTTTTTAACATTTATGCCCCCTTTTCAGTTTGAAACTAATCAAGTCTGCAGGTAAGTACGATAGCTTCCCTATCGTTACTCAAGGTCTATGGAGCTTTGATTGTGGATGGATGCTGATGGATTAAAATTAATAGTCATGTCTCCTGCTGCCATTGCTACTGCCGGGGCTGCCGCCGCGCCGGCTTCAGAATCCGATGTCCCTATCCATGCTCCCTCTTCTGAATTGGCAATGAAGTATGAGCACGAGTATGCGGCTCACAACTATCATCCATTGCCCATTGTCTTCTCGAAGGCTCTCGGTGTTCATGTTTGGGATCCCGAGGTTAGTTGATAGAGCTTCTACTTTACCCCGCCGCCCCCGCCACAAGTTCTAACAATTCTTTGGCTTTGAGTTTGGGTGCCAATAGATCTAATTTTGTCACAGGGCAAACAATACCTTGACTTCTTGAGTGCCTATTCCGCCGTTAACCAGGGTCATTGTCATCCCAAAATTGTTGGTGCTTTAATCACCCAAGCCCAGCGTTTGTGTCTCTCCTCGAGAGCCTTCATTAATGATGTACTCCCAATGTTTTCGAAGTTTGTTACGGAGGTATGCTTTGCAATCTTCGTCTTTGCGTTTGATATACGAGTGATCTAATTTGATACTAAGTACTTCGGTTACGACATGGTTCTTCCTATGAACACTGGTGTCGAAGCTGTTGAAACTAGTCTTAAACTTGCTCGCAAGTGGGGTTATCTAAAGAAGGGTATTCCTGAGAATGAAGCATTGATCTTTTGTGCCTCTGACAACTTTCACGGCCGTACGTTCGCCGCCTTGTCTTTATCCTCGGATCCTGAGTCTCGTGACCACTATGGGCCATACCTTCCAAATATTGGCTCCACGTGCCCCAAAACTGGGAAGGTTATTAGGTATAACAACATTGCAGACATCGAGGAGGTTTTTGAGCTTCAAGGGAAAAAGACTGCGGCTTTCCTTATTGAGCCAATCCAGGGTGAGGCAGGTATTGTCGTTCCTGACGATGACTACCTTGCCAAAGTCCATGCTCTTTGCAAGAAGCATAACGTCTTGCTGATTTGTGACGAGATTCAAACTGGGATTGCCAGAACTGGTCGTCTTCTTTGTTCTGAGCATTCCGGTATTCGTCCTGACATAGTTCTCCTCGGGAAGGCTATTTCCGGAGGTGTCTACCCTGTCTCCGCTGTTCTCTCTGATAAGGATATCATGTTGTGTATCCAACCCGGAACGCATGGGTCAACCTATGGTGGTAACCCTCTTGGCTGCGCCGTTGCGATTGCTGCATTGGAGGTGATTCGCGATGAGGATCTCACTACTAGGTCTGAGGTTCTCGGACAGAAATTCCGAGCTGGGCTCAGTGCAATTAATTCACCTGCCATCAAAGTTGTTCGTGGAAAGGGGCTTTTGAACGCCGTTGTCATCGACGAGTCCAAGACTAATGGTCGCACCGCTTGGGACCTTTGTCTACTACTCCGCAATAACGGGCTCTTGGCTAAGCCTACTCACCAGAACATCATCCGTCTTGCTCCTCCTCTTGTAATTACGGAGGAACAGGTCTATGAGGCGATTGGGATCATTGAGAAATCTCTCACGGGCTTGGTGAGTATCTCTCCACCTCTCAATCCCCAATCAATGAATGAACCTGTGCACATTCTGACATGTCAAACAACAGCCAACCTATGTAAACAATGACCCCCAACATTAACTTTTTCATTGGTCATGTATACGGAATTAAAGGGTTTCTGAGACGTAACTTTTCCCTCCAGCTTAGAATTGAACTGCTGGGAGCAACTTTTGCCTAATTTCTCGCTATTTCTTTGTTTTATTTATTTTTCCTATCTTGGGTTTTACTTGGTGGTTCTTTTTTGCTATTTTTTTTTTTTTATCTTCCCAATAATATATTATTTTCAGATTAACACAGTGTCCGTTGATCGAGGTCTCTGGGGGGGTGATTATGCCTGGTGGGCTGGGATGTGAACGCGAGTGACACGCAGCATCACTCGAACTCACGCGCACGGGCTTTCTGTCATATTTTGCGAACCACTGTTTTCGAATACTCCTTGCCGGAGACGAGTACAGAATCTTGCCCACGCCACTCCATCAACCAGCAGCCACTGAACAACAGACCACGACGAAACACCATGTTCCAAAGAACCGGCCAGACCAACACCCAACACCTCCACAAACCCACCCACAAATCAACCCCATGACCGAATAAATACTTTTGGTAGGTAAGATGTAAAGCGCTTCAAACCAGGCCCAAGGCCATTGCATCCGTAATGCCTCTATTCTTAAGGGCGGAGGGTTATAAATTATATTCTAACTCAAGCAATGACAAGAATTGGGTATGAGACTTTTAAAATCTGTATTGTTGATTTATATATAACCCTTTGCCTTCGCAAAATGAGGCATTACAGGATGCAACGGCCTTGGTCCTGGTTTGAAACGCTTTGCATTATACGATAAATCCCACTACTTTTGTTCCATTTCCATTTCCCTTTCAAGAACACACAACTAACTAATGAGGAAAAACCTATCTCACATAAAAACAGTTATTTTGCAAAGAATAAATAAGTAAATAAAGAGCCAATCCCGCAATAACAACCCCCCCCAACAACTCACAAATGAGACAGAAAATGAGTTAAGAATAGAAACGTTAATATCTGAGGAGGTAGAGGGAGGTAGAGACAGATGGAGAAGGGAAGAGGGCATTAGTATTGTACAGTTTAGGTGATAAGGGGTTCTAGATCTAACTTAGGTTGGTCAGTGCGATCGGTTGGTTGGAGGGAAGTAGGAGGAGAGGGTGATAGAACAGAAAAGAGGTAGGAAGAGTAGACTGTGCGCACCATCATCACCATCGCGAAAATGAAGGGAAAGGGTAAGAGAATATAAAAAAAACAGAAAAAAGTAGAGATTTATAAGAGAAAAAAAACAATCACCCAACATTCAAAGAAAAATCAAGTACGAAACAAACCAGAAAAGAATAGAAGAAAGAAAAAGCAAAAAGAAAAAAAAAGCAAAAGACCCTTCACTTCTCTCGTTTTCATTAGCACCTAACTTAACGGAACCTAGCCTAGCCTAACCTAATCTAACCTAGTTGAGCAGATCCGAAACTTCCATCACCAATACCCCCGCCCTCCCGAATGTCGCCGTCCAGCTCCTCGAATACCTCGCCGACCCTGCGGATGATCTCATCGCGGTCCCAACAAGCGCGCATTTCCCACACTTTGCTCATACAAGCGCTGCTCACCTGCTCGAGCTGCTCGACAGTGTACCCGCCCGTCTCGGCGACGAGGCGGTCGTGCAGGTTCGCCAGAAGCGTGCGATCGCAGGTTATAGTGGTTTGTATAGGGAGCAAGGGGAATAAAGGGGGCGCAGGGTGGGAGGAGTTGTGGAGGTGAGGTTGGGAGGAGGGTTGGGAGTGCGGGGCAGGTGTTGCGGTCGAGGTTTGTGAAGGGGCCGAGTCTGAGGAGCTGGAGGGGACTACTGTTGTTTTTCCATTCATTAGCCATGTCACGATTAGGAGGAAGAGAGTGGGGGTTGGGTACCTTGGGTGTCAGGGAGTTGAGAATCACCGGTGGAAATTCCGCCAAAGTTATGGAATAAAGGTGGATTCATAGGGCGGGGAGTTCCGTTGCTGTTACTATAAGGATTAGAAAACGGTTGGGAGTTCAGCCCTGCTGTTCCATCGCTCGTGCGTTTTCCAGAGTCAGTCGTAGAGGCATAATTAAAGATCACAGAGCACCCAGTGACGGGTGTGACGCCAAGCGCAGCTCCAGGTTGAGATGTCATCTGCGGGATCCCGTCTGCCGCCACCGACTGCGAGAAATTGGCAGGAATGCTGGAAATGGCGGTTTGAAAGGCACTGGCGTGTTCGCTGGACTGAGTGTGCTGTGAAGGAGGGGAATGCAGTGCCGCAGGACTACCCTGGCGACTGCTAGTGCGAGTATGAGTATTTGTAAGATCATCATTCTTTGAGACTTGGGATGTCTGAACTTCCACGCTCGAACTCATATGACTGTATACTCCAACCCCATTGGACGGCGGGTATGTAGTCGAAATGACTGCGGTTGCACTAGCACTGACGCTAACATCTTCACCATTTCCGACGGCATGGATGGGAGTCGCCTGCCTCTTCTGTGATTTGTCTGACCCCCCTTGGATCTGTCGCTCGGCGGGAGGGCTCTGGCGATCCAGTGATGCACGGGTCTTCTCCGCTTCCAAGCGCGCTTCCCCCTCTGCGCGCTTCTGACGCTCGGCCTTCTCGGCTCGCTCTTCTATTTTCTTGCGCTCGCGAGCCCATAATTCCGCGCACTGGGCCGCCATCGCCTGGTCCATTACTTCTATATCGGTTGCGATGACTTCGAGATGGGTCAAGAGCTCGTTGACCTTCATTCTATGCTCTTTGTGGCCCAGCTCCATCCAATCATCCCTGATGTACTCCACGTCTCGGAGGAATTGCTTAGCACTACAATAATAACCATTCGAAACCCTCTCTTCAATAACATCCATGTCCATATTGTAAAAAGTTTTGCCAGTGGTAGTGTCAATGACCTTTGGCGGAGAGTGTATATTCTTGGGTAAGAGTAATTGGTAATTGCTTGCGGTGCCTTGGATGGCGAGATCTGAGGTGACTTCAGGCTCTTCGAATAAGTGCTTAATTGCCTCGTAGTCCAGTATAGGCTTTTTAAATCGTCTAAGTTTGGATCTAACAGTATCTATGGCATAAAATAACCTCATCTTAAGCCAATTCTTGATCTGCTTATCCTTCGTTTCTTGTGCCTTGCGCTCTTCCTTTGTCATAGCACGAGGTGGCGGCGGTGGTACAACAGGTAGAACAGGCAGTTCTCGCTTTCTCCTTGTCGATGGATCAGGCGGGAATTCATTAGGAGCCTTCTGAATATAGGAAATCAATCTATCAAAGTATTTCCGGCGTGCCTCCTGCAGCAACATTAGTTAGAAAATTCCAGCAATTCAAAAAGGCCATACAAACTTCATTAGGCATTGGAATTCTAAATCTATCCCTCTTGGAGAACCCGAAAAGATCATGCAGCAACGTGGGGTCTAAATCATCAAGCTCAGAGTTTGTTACGCCAAGCAGAAGTACCGGATCGTTTGCCGGGATGCTTCTCAGTAAACCCTTGAAGGTGATTAACCCTTGTTGGCCAATAGAGCTGTACCAGGTATCCACATCAGGGATGAATACAACACTCGGCTTATGCCGTTTGACCTCGACAAACAACTGCACTATGGCAGTCTCAACCGACTAACCCATCGGTTAGCAAGGACCAAACCATCACTTAATCGGAACAGCCTACCCTTGCAGAATCACCAACTAAGGTTGCTAAATCGAATGCTTGAACATGCAGCTTCTCAAAATAGTTCAATAGTGCTGCTGCAAGATACTGTTGCCCCATTCCAGGGGCGCCATGAATCAACATCCGGGGACGGAAGACACGAGCTTGGTCGAAATCTAAATTAAAGAATTAGCTAACAAACTCTTTGGGCCCAACCAGATACCAACCTTGCATCATATTTTCACGTGAGAAGCCACCATCCGAATCCTGGTCGTCCTCGTACATGGCCTCCTCCAATACAGTCAATCGCTTGCGCTCCGGGAGGATACCATCCATACACTTCTTCAATTGCTGAAGAGGACCAATCAACAAAGGCTCAATAAATGACGGCAGCGGATCTGTTCCGGAAGACGAAGACCTCTGCGAGGACGGGACCACCTTTTTCATCGCGAGCATGAAGTCGCGGGCGGTGACATGAATTGAGGTGGGGTCAAGGGCGAGCTTGTCACTGGTCATATAGATCTGTGGATATGTTCGCTGGACAGCATTGAGCGCCGCTTCAGTACACAGTGACTATAGTATCGGTTAGCACAAGGTCCCATCCAGAAAGACACTACACCAGTCAACTTGCCCTTAGATCAGCGCCGCCGTAGCCTTTGGTTTGTAAGGCTAACCCTTCCTTCAATGCCTCTGGTAGAGCTGGGCTCCATCCCTTGGTATGGATGTCGATGATAGACTTCCGTGCATCAACTGAAGGGAGAGGAAAATAGAACTCTCGATCGAAACGCCCAGGGCGACGAAGTGCGGGATCCACCGCATCAGGTCTATTAGTGGCGCCGATTACAACAACTTGTCCTCTGCCATCCATGCCATCCATCAACGCCAACATGGTTGACACTATCGACGCGTGGATTTGGTCCTGCTTTGAGGACCTAACCGGGGCCAGTCCTATTCACGAATTAGCTTCGATACTGTTAACAAACGAATCAAAGAAATCAGACCATCAATTTCGTCAAAGAAAATGATACTCGGTTGATTGTTCTTAGCCTCTTCAAACAGCAATCTAAGTTGACGTTCCGCCTCTCCCACCCATTTGCTGAGACAATCTGCCCCCTTCCTCATATAAAATGTAACCTTTCTGGCTTCTGTGCTACAGCTTGCGGCCAGAGCTCTTGCCATCAAAGTCTTTCCAGTTCCAGGAGGGCCATGGAAGAGTACACCGCGAGGGGGAGTAATCTTCTTAGCTAAAAACAACTCTGGATAAGTCAACGGCAATTGAACCATTTCCTTGAGATTTTGGATGACAACATCCAGTCCACCAACTTTGGAAAAATCCACATTACTATCGGCGGCACCCAAGGGGTCAATATCGGCGTTAGCATTCTTCCCCTTGCTCATCTTGCCCAAAGAACCGGGTGCGCCTCCCAGCGGATCGCTACCATGTAATTGCGCGGAAGGAGGTAATAAGCCGGCCGTGGCAGTACTCGGAGTCATGATGGTGCCAGCAGCGCCAACTACACCACCATACATCCCTGGCCGAGCGGACCTCTCATCGTCACTGCTATCGGAATCATCCTGTACTGTGGGATTCATGGGTCTTCCTCGTCCGAATGGATTAAATGAAACACTACCGCCAAAGGGTCCACTAGTGTCAAACCAAGACTTCTGCGCGCTTGGAGCGGTCTTTCTCCTCGGTTCTTCATTACCACTATTGTCCGGCTCAATCAACTGGGCATTCTCGGGCCGCAAAATCCTATAATCAACATTCTGTGTTCTGCGACGGAGTGTCCTCTCCGGAGCAGTTTCACCTTCCAAAGCCAGGGTCCGCTTCGATCGGTGTCTGAGACGTTTGGGAGATGGAAGTAGATCTTCCAACTCTTGGTGGAGTTCCACGTGCTCAGATTGGCTAAGTTCCCCGGATGACGTTGCCCTCCGCTTTCTAGACGATTGTGAAGTTGACATTGGACGTTTACCTTTACGGGCACGACCACGACCAGTGTGCTCGGAGGACTCATCTTCTGGGCCGGAGTCGATTTCAGCTTGGCCGGAGCGAGGTAGCTTTGATGGCGATGACTTATTAGACATGCTGTCGTCCCCTGTATCATCCCCACCCTCTTCCTCTCGATACTCCTCACTACTGTCACCAGCCCTTTTACTAGCACCTCTAGTGGCTCTCCCAGGGACTCGACGCCCCCGACCTCGCTTAGCTCTTTTGGCATCAAGTGCAGTCTCAGCAGTTCTAGTCGCTTTCGGGGAAGCGGTGCTCCCACGGAGGGAGGGCACATCACCAACTTTACGGCCGCTACGCCGACTTGGTTGGACATCCGAATCATCGTCATCTCCATCTCCATCTCCATCTTCCGGAGACAGGTTATCGTTCCCCGGTTCGTCGTCCCTGGACTGTGAGTTAACCCCGTCCAGCTCCCCATCGCTACCTTGCACGCCCTCATTCCCATCCGCAGCGGATTCAGCCATTTGAGAAGCTTGCTCATCAATTCCGCCAGTACAACCAGACTCTACAGCTTCCCTTGAAGAGGTCTCAGCAAGGCTCTCTCTCTCTTCTAAAATGACGTCGCCGGCGCCAGGTTGTCTAACGATTTCGCTGTGTTTGCCCGAATTTGTAAGTTGTAGGGCGGGCTCTTCCGAAGCTCCTAGGCGGGTGCTTCTACGAGCCACACCGCCCCCGACAACAGGAGGCCCGGCACTGCCTCCTCGGGTTCTCGTAGCGGACTTGAGCGGGCCTTTGCCCCCGACGATTGGACGCGACTGAGCGGTCGCAGAGGTAGCGCGGGTCGTACGACGAGTCGGTAATTGATCTTCATTCTGTGTCTCCGGCTCAGCACTCTGACCTTTGCGTTCCTTCCTAAGATCAGGAGGAATCTTGATCTTAACTAGCATTGACTGTTTCTTAGTAGGGGCCTTAGCTCCCTTATTGCCAACATCCCCATCAGCTTCTTCCTCCTCCTCAGCACTACTTCCAGAGGGGGAAGGCTCTTCCAAGTCCTCGCTTTCTTCTCCGTAATTGACGGGCCTTGTTTTTCTTGAACTTCTAAGAGGTCTACCGCTCGCTCCGAGGGTGACGGGCTCGTCGTCGGAAGCCAGACTCAGGTCATCGCCACTCATGGAGATGTCATCATCATCCGAATGATAGGCATTCCTTTTGCCGCGTCTCCCTTTGGTTGCGGTAGTCTTGCGACCCCCCTTCGCTGCCGTTTTCTTACCAACTGTTCCTTTGCCCGCAGTTCTCTTCCGGGGAGAATGAGCCTGGTCGCTGAAGTCCTCATCCTGGGAATCGGAGGCGAGCGGATCATCTAGCTGTCTCTTTCTCTTGCGCCCTGGACGTGGAGGACGTGTAGGCATCTTTGGAATTACTTGAGTGGCGAGATGATTTTGTTAATGTTGAGGCAAGTTTTATGTGACGGGGAGGGGGTAAATGTGTGTTGATAAAAAGTAATTGTGACAAAGCGCGTTCAAAACAAACTAAGCGATGTCGTAATTAAATAAGGTGGAATGGGGTCAAAAGAGTTATTATAGGTAAGTAAAGAGCGATGGAAAAGATTGTTGAATGTTCGATGTACCGCTGCTGGGCGAACGAAGTGGTTGTGTGGTTTTTGAGTACTCGAGAAAGTTGAAGGAGGGAAGCTTTGTCGGCTGGTGGTCGGTGGTGGTTGTGTGGTAGGTCAGTCGCTAAATTCCACTCTTGCCTTTCTCTCTCTCTCTCTCTTTTTTTTTTTTTTTTCTTGCTCGGGCTTCTCAGCTAGCCGACGACGACAACCATGACTAAACCGCAAGGGCAAGCGGGAAAAAGAAAAGAATATACACACGAAATACTAAACCATTTGTTTTTTTTCCTCCCTTTTAAGTTTTTCCCCCCTTTTCGGATCAAGCGACTTTGCTAGTTGCAAAAAAAAAAAAGAGAGGGAGAGAGAGAGAGAAATTATCGAAATCAAACTGAGGAAATCACACTCTCTGTCTTCTCCAAAAGAGAGGAAGAAGCAGAAAAAAAAAAGTAAAAAAAAGTAAAAAAAAAAAAAGCGGTTAGGGGGATAGCGGGGATTTCGTTGCGACGCGGTGAAGGAGGACTGTGGCGAGTGGGGACAAAAAGGTGTCATAAAGCCACGCAGGACTTTGAGATAGTTCATGTAACTCTCCAAAGCAGCACAAGCAAGAAACTCTGTGAAACTCTGTGATATATATATATAAATAGTTCCCCAAAATTTATTCTCCCTACTCTGAATTGTTGTGAAGAAATCCCAGGTCAAAAGGGACATAGAACATTAAAATAAAATAAAAGCGATAGTAGAGTGACAGATAACACAAATATTGTTTCCTACTTTCATTAGCCCTTCTCTATTTTATTTTCCCCATGAATTATCTTCTCGTGTCCCCCTGCTTCTCCTGCCCCCCCCCCTCTGCTTCTTCCTCAAATTCTCAGCCCTTGACTCCCGTTGAGTGCTGAAGCTGCCCACCAAGAAAGCCCAGCACTACTGCTGCCTGCTTTGCATACCTTGTCACGTGCTTGTTTGCATTGTCTGCCTGGTGGGGGCGCATCCGTGGTTCTTTCTGCTCTTGGCTGACATGTTATTTCAATCTCCCATTGCCCTCCTCAGCCACGCTCACGACTCAGCACTCGGATAGGTTCCCTAGAACTTGATAACGGCAGATTTCTTTTCCCGTTACTTGAGAAGAGTTCATTCTAGGATGGGAACTTAACAATCTTGAGCCGTGATCGGATTCCTGGTGCCATCGCCGCCGCCACCACCACTACCACCGCAGTCTATACTTCTGTTTGCCGAAACTACAATATATAAGCTGGGCGATTGTCCAGCTAGAGATTTGTTAACTCCGGGAAAAAAAACCAAACTCAATTACATGCCACTAGATACCCAAGCAGAAATACCCCTCCTCCACCAATCTCTAAAAAAAGAATCTCAAGCACAATCTTGGTAACGGTGCGGCCGCCATCGCAAACACGCAAATGCGCGCCGTCGATCCTACAACTTCGCTACCAGAATCTGTTTTCTTCCCCCCCTTGTCACCCTCCACCCTCACATTCTCTGGTGGCACGGTATAATACGATAGCAAGAGGTCTATCACCAATTTTTTTTCTTTCTTCCCTATTGCACCCCCATTCATTTGCCCATTCATTTGCCTGCCATCCTTATCTAATATCGGTATGCTATTAGCACACCAGATGTGAATGGTGAAAAAGATCCTGCGTTGATAAAAGTTAGAAGGGAAATAGGTGCTCTACCGTACTAGCACTGTGTTGTATGAGACGGGTCAGGAGGGAATACCGCTATCCGAAGGGATGGTTGGGTTGGGACAACGCAATGAAAGTGGCAATATCCAATGACAGCCTGCTCTGCGAAAAGACCTCTCTACCAGCCAATCCAGGGCTTCACAGATTTAGAATACCAGTATTGTATTTTTTTGTATTATACAAGTACCAGTAAAATTCAACATTTCACCTGAATGAGGTACCGTACATGAATTAAGGATGGTCTCGAAGCATATTGGTGCTCTAGAATGGCTACCCTAGAATTTCCCTGAAAAGGATATTCATGTACAAATTCCAGGTGACATAGATTACCAATTAAAAATCTCAATTCCTATTGATTTTTATTTCTTCTGTGGAGTTTACACGGAGGATGACTCCCAAAATATTAATACTCGAGTATGGTTGGCGCTCGCATTCATGGCTGTACTATGTACTATACCGGTAATCTATACCGGTAATGGGGTATAACGGAAGGACTCACCCCCATGGCATTAAGGGGAAGGCGTATGACTAACTGATATCGAAAAGATTCATCGGATACTTTCTCTTCCTCGAGGGGACAATTTTCACTTGCTGGCTGTGCTGGTTCTTTAAGGATAAATTGTGGCCAGCCGGGATTTGGGTATTTATTCTCTCGTGAATATAGAAGGGGAGTCATCTTCTGTATTTTCAGTAGATTCTGCCACTGCTACCCCCCCACACAGCGCTGTCATCACTACCATAAGCCATTTGATTATTTGAGTATTACTGTATCAGGATTGAACAAAAGCAAGGTTTCGCCCACTCCCTAATTTATGTTGGCGTTGGGACTCAGGGTCAACTCACTGATGACCTATTTAGCGTGCTGCGCAATACTGTATTAGGGTTGACAAAAGTCATGGCCACTTCCGAAAAAGGATGCGGTGTTTATATGAAGACAAAACCAAATTAGAAAATTAGAGTGATACTCTTAATGAATACATTATGGTATTATCAAAAAGTGATGGCTGCTACAAAAATGGGA